AATTAATATTTTTACGTTTAGTACAAATTAATTTTTTAAATATATATTAATTATACTACTCAAGTACATATATAGAGAAAATTTTATTTATTTCTAGTTTTTTTTCATTCTTATCTCAACAGCTAAAATTATTTAATTCTTACACCTATAAAAAAAAACAGACTATAAGGAGCAGACATCAAATCACCGCAAATTAGTGGAAGTCAGCAGCAAAGCAGAAAATGTTGCGAAGATTTTCGCTTGAAAGAGGTGAGCGGAGAAGAAAATTCCATAAATCTGATGAGGAAGAAAAAGAGGAAGAGGTGATTGATCTTCTCTTTCGTATGAAGTTCCAATTCTGATCGTCTCTTCTCGTTTTTGTGTTGCAGTGAAAACTTTGAGGGCTTTGAGGCCTCAGATTTTCGCTCTCGGAAACTCTCACTTCTCTACTGCCACTGAGCCGTCGTTCAATCGCCGTAATTCTTCGGTAAGATACGTCTGTATTTTCTGTGTATCCGTAGTCTAATCGGATTAGCTTGATCGTATATGGAGCTTACCTCCTGTTTGGTTACTGAGAAAATGCTGGAAAGAATAGGAAAAGGAAAAAAATTTTCAGTTGATTGTTGGTGTATGAATATAATTTCACTTCATCCTTAAAAAAAGAAGTTTTTTTTTTTTTTTTTTTTTTTTTTTTTTTTATTTTATTTATTTATGATTGGTGCATGTTAAATTTAAGCTGATTGTTGTTCTTCTAATTTCAACGATTGTATTTGTACAGAGAGTTCCCAATCTTATTGGAGGTACTTTTGTTGACTCACAAGCGACAGCCGCAATTGATGTTATTAACCCTGTGAGTGTATAATCTTTTCTTTTGTTTTTGTTGGTTCTTTACTTTTTTGTTTTTCATGGTATTGGAATTTATGCTAGTGACATTTTATGTGGCAATAGGCAACACAAGAAGTTGTTTCGCAAGTTCCTTTAACAACAAATGAAGAGTTCAAAGCTGCAGTGTCTGCAGCAAAGAAGGCTTTTCTATCATGGCGCAACACCCCTGTTACAACTCGTCAGCGCATCATGTTCAAACTCCAAGAACTTATCCGTAGAGACATTGTAAACATTAGCATTGATTGATGTATTTATTTTATTAATTTTCTCAGTAGGGGACTTTTTTTTAACAGGTTTTATAATCTTGTGTAGGATAAGCTAGCCAAAAATATCACAACTGAACAGGGCAAGACGTTGAAGGATGCGCATGGTGATGTCTTCCGTGGGCTTGGTCAGTGTTAATATGCTTTCTGCTTGCTGTTTGAGTTGATTGCAGCAAAGCCTTTGAAATGCTCGCTATTTGCTTACCATTTCCATTTTCCTTTTGGTATTTTCTTATGTAGAGGTGGTGGAACATGCCTGTGGAATGGCAACCCTACAAATGGGAGAGTATGTAACCAATGTTTCAAATGGAATTGATACCTTCAGTATTAGGGAGCCACTTGGAGTTTGTGCTGGGATATGTCCTTTCAACTTTCCTGCAATGATTCCATTATGGGTAAACGTTTTACATTGTATCTTATGCATTATAATGGTTCTAAACTTCTACACTTCCACTTAGGTCCTCCTTCACATATTACTTCAATGCTTGTTTATTGGCAAAGTCATCTGGCAATTGTTATGAGGACCTGATGTTCAAGATAAATAGAAAAACTAACTAGAAAGACATCTTGTTTTTCTTTCTTTAAATAATGTGCTAACTGTCTAAATATTAGTTGGCTTTTATGGCTGAAACCCATTTCTTTAAATCCCCAAGAGAGTAAAACTGATGATAATTAATTTTACTGCAGATGTTTCCTATTGCAGTTACATGTGGGAATACCTATGTTTTAAAACCATCAGAAAAGGATCCTGGTGAGTGTGATCTTTAAAATCATGTCACATGGTAATGAAGAGCATTATTTTGCTTGTGGTGTCATGTTGTATTAAATCCTAGAGGAAAAAAATTTTCCTATCCTATTTTACTTGGTGAGTTTGATATTTCTTTCATTTTTTTTTTTCCCAGGGGCCTCCATGATGCTGGCAGAATTAGCCATGGAAGCTGGTTTGCCAGATGGTGTCTTAAATATTGTCCATGGAACCAATGTATGTTCTCCAGTAACAACAGCTTATGCATTTTATGGACCTTGCAATATCAACTGTCACTTTGAAAATTAATTAATTGATTTTTCAGTATCTGTTTAGTATGTTTTCACTTATCCCTTGTGCATGGCAAAACATTCTGCTTAAAGATTCTATCATTGACTGTAATTTGTGATGGTTCAGTAATGAGGCTCTTGGTATCTTAGTGGTTCTTCTTTCTTGCAGGATATTGTAAATGCTATTTGTGATGATGATGATATCAGAGCTGTATCATTTGTTGGTTCCAATACTGTAAGTAACTCTTTTTCAAGTATTTGCAGCCCCAACTAGTTTAACTCCACAAATTTACATCTGATTGTTAAGCATGCAGTTTAATCTTCACCAAAACTTCTCTGTTGGTATTGTTATAATCCTGAAGAACATCATCAATGTTTTCCGAAGCAATCTGATATTTTGGTTATATAATTGTATTTGTTTCTGTGAAGGCTGGTATGCACATTTATGCAAGGGCATCAGCTAAAGGAAAACGTGTTCAGGTAAGTTCACAATTAAATTTACTTTCATACGTACATAAAATTCATCCTGTATGGCAATATGGTTGATTATGACATTCAAAGTTGAATCAAACTGCTGACTTGGTCTATTTTGGTGCATAGTCCAACATGGGTGCCAAAAATCATGGGATTGTCATGCCTGATGCAAACATGGATGCCACATTAAATGCTCTAGTTGCTGCTGGTTTTGGTGCTGCTGGACAGAGATGCATGGCACTAAGCACCGTGGTTTTTGTTGGTGACTCAAAGTCATGGTACTATGTTTTTATTCCTTTTAGTGCAATAAAAAACAATGTTTGCTTCTGGATTTGAATTGTTTAGTATGTGGCTTATAGAAATTGAGTTTATGTACCTACTCCAAGTCAAATGGTTTAGACTCTCAGATGGTCTTGGACTGGCATTTAGTATTCATGTGCTTGGGTATGGCTATCAAACGTTGGCATGTTCACGTCTGAGTATTTGACTGGTTATTGTTAAAAGATTTTGAACTGGCTGATTCATTCAAATGGGATCCAGAAGTTGGATTTGGGCATGGGGATTAATTACATACAAATGTATGTACATAAACACATACATGTACACATTTTGGCTGTTGTTAAGGGGGAGAAAACACCTTTAACTCTCCTGTGCAACTCTTTATTCAAATTTGAATAGCAGTTGCTGTCAATTGTACTGCATAGAATGCTTAATAGAACTAAGAATATGCTTTAATGAAAATAGTATTTAGTGTTTTATCTGAAATGCATGTTAATAAGGTATTTGTTGTCAACTTGTTAGATATAATGCCTCATGTATTTTTGATACAGCAGGTTGAAATTTTTAATTTCTTTGGACCTAACATATCAGGGAACTGTTTTAATCTTTTCTAGGGAGAGCAAACTTGTAGAACGTGCCAAATCTCTTAAAGTTAATGCTGGAACTGAACCTGATACTGACCTTGGTCCAGTAATCAGCAAGCAGGTATGTACAGTTCCAACATTAATATCCTTTTCTCACCAGTTTGAAGATCTAACAAAAACTAGTGAAATAGAGATGACTGGTTTTCTTCTCCTTTCCTGTTTTGGAATAATGTCAACACTGAGGCATTGTGGGCTGTCGGTATTGGGAGGTTTGTCTGGGGAATCAAAGCTGGGCATCTTAGTTTCTTTTTTTTTTAAAAAAAATTTTTTTTCTTTGCTTATTTTTATTTTTGTGTAATTTTTTCTTCACATCATCCACCTAGTGATGTCATTGTTCTTGGGATTCTTTTGAACTCACAGGCCAAGGAACGGATATACAACTTAATTCAATCTGGGGTGGAGAGTGGTGCCAAACTACTGCTTGATGGGAGAAATATAGTGGTAATTATAATTTCTTTAATGTTCTACAGTGATGTTGCTGGATCAGATACTAATCTTTTGTCATCATTTAGATCATCTTTTTGTGTATCTGCCTTTAAGATGGACAAATTTCACAAATAGGATGATAACATGGTTACATAAATCATAGGATAGTACATGTACTTGAAACAGAACTTTAATTAACAAATGAGAAAATATAAAAATTTTCAAATATGACTTGTTCCAGAAGGAGCCAATAGTTGCAAATATAATTTATAGTCATTATGGTATAAAAGTGAACCAAACTCTTTCTTTGCCTCCCCTCTTCACCTCTCTCCCTCTCCTGTCCCAGTTGTTGCATTGATTTCTTTCTTGATAGTCAACTGTAGCACTTGATTGATTATTACTTCCTAAACTTTCTGGTCATTACTTCCCAAATTTTCAGGACAAGGTTGTATGCTTATTAATTTATTTATGGGTGAGTAGGTTCCAGGATATGAGCAAGGCAATTTTATTGGTCCCACAATCTTATCTGATGTGACAGCTGACATGGAGTGTTATAAGGTACTAATCACGACCATGACCATTGGATACACATTTTCAACTGAATTAAGGAAATTCCTTTCATTCGATGGATAGAAGACTTAGACAAGATATAGACCTGATAACTCTCTTGGCATCTGCAGGAAGAAATTTTTGGTCCAGTTCTCGTTTGCATGAAGGTAAAACTCATCCCTTTCCATTTGTGCAGTAGATGTCTTTTTGGTTACTTTGGTGGTTTATTGATGTACATTTTTTGTTCCAGGCTGACAGTTTTGATGAGGCCATAGACATTGTTAACAGAAACAAGTACTTCCTAGAGCTTCTCTCTTTTGTTTTTCTTGTTTCTTTATCCTTTTCACCTTTGTCATTCTTACCACTTTCAGCTATTTTATTTTTTACACATCATAATCATTGCAGATATGGCAATGGAGCTTCTATATTCACTACCTCCGGTGCAGCTGCAAGGAAATTCCAGATAGAGATTGAAGCAGGACAGGTAAAAGCATGGAAGAAAGATAACATTGCTTGCAACTGCATGACATTTATATTAAATGTGAGGCCATTTCTTCTAAGGATTAGAAGCTCAAATCTGTAACACACATTGCTCCTATGTATTTAGGTTGGCATCAATGTTCCCATACCAGTTCCCCTGCCCTTTTTCTCATTTACTGGCTCCAAGGCATCTTTTGCAGGCGATCTTAATTTCTATGGTAATATCTGGATCCTCAGCCATTCATTTCTACTCTTCCATACACGAATGCCTTTTCCTCACGCCTGTCGGAGTTGATAATTTTTGTCTTGGATTGCAGGCAAGGCGGGAGTCAATTTTTACACCCAAATCAAGACAATAACTCAACAATGGAAGGATTTACCTAGTGGCAGTGGAGTTTCCCTGGCAATGCCAACATCACAGAAATTGTAGATCAACATACCATGCCTGATTGATTATACAATGCTGTTACGATAGCCAGGGCAGTCCACTGCTTTATTTATTGGATACAGTATGAACATCCTCCTTATGAATATGGCCACAGGCCAAAGATCCTTAAACAATAAACATGTTTGTCTCTGCTTCCTGTAATAAAGTGTTGTTTGGTCCAAGTTCGATATTTCATTCTTGTACCAATGTCTGAATTCCCTCTAATTTGAATTTGTCCATAATTAAACAGATGATCCTTTCCTTGCAAGTTTCCATTCTGAAGTATTAAACAGCAATTATAATTATAAAGAGACAGGCAGAAACCAAAGAAATGACTGGAAAACTGAGAGGATGAGTAGTTACGTGCTAACAGCATACATTTCAAGCACCTAAAAGTTTGCATGAGTACAACTTTCAATTTTGAATCCGAGACAAGTGCTTCTTGCCACCAAGGTGAGAGACCATGTTGTCAGCGCCAGTGCAGCTAACGTTGCAGATGGAGCACCAAAATTTATCGTTTTTAACCTGAACAAATTCATTCTTCGCAATCTCTTGCTGAGCTTTTACCATGCATTTAGGTATTTTGTCTCCTACACTTTTTGCTGGTCGCTCTTTGGGTTTATCAGACTTCTCAGCCTGCCTTCTCCCAGTTGTCTGATTAGATTCATTATGTGCAGTACCGTTGCTGGAGGCACATTTCTCAGGCTCCTTTCTGGCTATGTTGGAGTTCTCAATCTCTTGCTGGCCTTTCATCTTTTGCTGATTAGATTCAGGTTTTATTTTATCTCCTCCACCTTTTGCTGGACTCTCTTTGGTAAGATCAGATTTCCCTGCCCGCCTTCTTCCACTTTTCTGATTAGATTCCTCACGTGTAGTACTGCTGCTGGAGGCACATTTCGCAGGTTCCTTTCTAAGGGTTTTGGAGCTCTTTGACGCTGAAGGTACAGAAGCGTTGTCTTTGGAGGCCTGGTTCTTAACATTCGTCAGCTTCTCACAAGTGGCTTTGTGTCGACTTCCACGTAGGTGACACATCAAGGTTTTCTCGCTTGAGACAGTCACCTGACACATAGCACAGGTCCATTCCTTCTGAATTTGCGGCAAAGTTGATATCCCGGGAATTGACATCTCGGGAACAGCTGCTTCTTTGATCTCATCCAGTGGAGGTATCTTGTTATTGGCCGGAGCAACATTTAGCTCTGCTTCAGGAATCTGAAAAAGTGATGAAATCAGAATGCAGAAACCCACTTTTCTCCTTTCATTGATTCTGATATTATAGCAGGGCAGGCACACAAATCAAGTTTTCTCAGAAGAATATAAGTATGGATATAAGGTTGCTCAAGAAGGCCTAATTCCTATGCATATTCATACCAGAACAATAACTTCTAAGATTCCATTTCAATGTGAATGAGAATGAGAAACCTAACCTGCTTGACCGCGGTCACTACCTTTTTCTCTAAGACCTGTGATGTTGAGCTCATTGCATCCTGACTAGTGTATGCTTTTTCACTACCTTTCTGCATGATGCAGGGCTCAATACCCTCTGACTGCATTGTAGAATGAGAGAATTATATCATAGAAACTTTGCAAATGATGCTGTTTCTCAAAAGCAGATACGATTAAACGACAACTGCTCATCAATCCTCAAAATCTATGAGCATAAGAAAAAATCAGGGTTCACTAGTAATCAATTATCAATCTTTGGTTATCAAAGTCAATATCCTCACCATTCCATCTTGCTTTGCAGGAGCTTCCAACTCTTTCTGAACAGGAGGAGTTATACTACTTGACTGGAATCAAAGCAAAGTTACCAGGTCAATTGGAAAGGAATGGATATTGCAAGTAAGTGACAAAATGACAACTGCTCATCAATTCTCAAAATCTGGTAGCATAAGAAAAAATCACAGTTCATTAGTAATCAATCTTTGGTTATCAAAGTCAATATCCTCACCATTCCAACTTGCTTTGCAGGAACTTCCATCTCTTTCTGAAGAGGAGTTATACTACTTGACTGGAATCAAAGCAAAGTTATCACGTCAGTAGGAAGGGAATGGGTATTGCAAGGAAGCCTAAATTCTAAACAAGTAATACCTTAGCAGAGATGAGTTTCTCCAAAGCCTCGGATCCATTTTCTTTTACATATTTATCTGCCTCGGTTAGGAAGTTTTCCTTCTTGGCAAACAAGTCCTTCAGCTTAATGAAGCAGTTAATGATAGTTTGCAGGTCAATCGAAAGACAGGGATGAACAAAGTTGTTATAGACATGAAAAGCACCATCGAAGCGCGGTATCATCAACCAGCAGACTATCATTAGCTTAACATAATCCCAACCTAGTACCCTGACATATATAGTAACCAATAAGAACTAAAAATACAACACAGCTCCACTTAGTATGTGTTTTTACAAATTTTGAAACTCTAAACAAAAAACTCATTTAGTTTCATGTGTTTTTGCAACATATGATCAATGATTATTAGAGAAAAAAAAATAGTTTCAATACTATTAAACAGGTTTATATTTTTTGTTGTTAATGTTAAAACTCGTCGTAAACAAATGGTTTTTTTTTTTTTTTTAAGTTTGCAGGCAAACTTTATGAAAATCAAAATTAAAAACCAAAAACCACAACCATAAGCTAGCCTAAGTGGCTGCTCTCATGATGATACATAAAGCATCATGATATAAATTCAGAAACTTTCGCAACAAACCATAAAGATTACTTTAGAATCCCACAATTTACGATCTGATTTACAATCCCACTATTTACGCTTGTATCTCCCTTCTAATCTTAGTAGATCTTAGTAGTATTTTAGTGATCTTGACAACTTTGGAACATATACTTATGTATCATAAGTAAAAACAGGCTAACAAGATTACCATTCTTTACCAAAAAAAAGATTACCACTTAAGTAGACCCATGAAGGCATGTTCAAAGAGGGAAATCAACGAAAAGAGGACCCAGTACGTAACCAATTTCCGGCAGTCGGAGTCGGAATTAGTCTCAATCGCCCGAATAGATGCAACTCTTGACCCAACAAGAAAGAAAAACATAATCATCATTATGGCATATCAACACCCAATTTTCTGAAATGCTAAAATTTAAAAAAAAAAAAAAAAAAAAAAGAGAGAGAGAGAGACTTACAGAGGATATCCCAAAGCAAAGATAGGCCTAAAAAAGGAAAATCAAACAATTGAAAAACATAAGAACAATGCCATATAGCCATGCAAACCCAAATATGAAAAGAGGAAAGGCAAATCTTGAGGCATTTGGAACAGCAAAATTTTCTACTTTACCAACTTAGAGCAGCAGAATGTCAGAGAAAGAAGAATGCTTTGCTTACCATGCAAGAGCATCAAAAGAAATCTTCAAAAACTTGAAAAAATCCATCTAGGATTCACTCTGTTTTTGGGTTCCCTAAGGCTGAATCTGCAGATAAATTGGGTGAGAAAGTGGAAAAACCGAACCCAGTAGCCAGGCAAGTGTAATAGTTGCTTTAAGTACAGCTACTGCCTTTTATTTATTCTTTCCCATCGCTCTGTTTTTCCTACCCTTTTCCGTACAGATGGTGGCACGAGCAGATGCAGGACACGATTGACACGCGTAACTGAGAAACAATGTTCCACATGATGCGGATATTAGTGGGCGAGTAGTACTAGATTCGGATACGCGGGCGCTGAGGGATGTTGGAGTGGTGTGGTTCCTTCTTGTTTCTTCCTTCTCGTACGATCGAAGTCAAAAGAACATCGGCTGTTGACTTGGGGCATTTTACGTTGACTGTCTTAAGGCATGATCTAGTCTACGGTGTGGGTTTTTTGTTTTACGTATTGTCTTTTCATTTGCCCGACATTGCTGTTGTTTTCTATTTCTGGGTTTTTATTGGGGTACATTACAACTTAATTGCTTGACAATACTGTATCTAATATTTTCATTTTAGTAATGTCAAGCAATTAAAGTGTAATGTACCGCACTTGGGATTTCAGATTTGGTCGCATCAGGTCGGTCACGTATAAATATATTTTTTTACTTTTAAGATAATGATTTGAATTTGATTGTTTGTAAATTTGTTAAAAAAAAAAGTGTAATGTACCAAAAAAAATATTTTGATAATTTTTAGTAAAAGAAAATGTAAACTATTTTAAAAAAGTTAAAATTTTAATTTAGTCTTTTAATTATTGTATGAATTTTTAATTAATTTTTGAATTAAAAAAATCTCTAATTAAGTTCTTAAAATTTTTAAATTTAGACTTTAAATTAGTTGTCCATCTATTAAAAAATAACCATCAAATAATAGTTTTTTCCTATCAACCTTACATCAACTTGTGAATCTATTCATCAAGGTTCACTTTTTTGGACGGCTTCTACATTTTTTTTTTCAAACTCAAGGCGATTTTGTCATTACCATCTTAAATTTGCAAGGTGTTAAAATATTAGTATTCACATTATATTAATATGTTCACACTATAATTGATTGTATAGAATTAAGTTAATTGATTTTATAATTAAGAATATTTTACAATACAAACCTAAAAGTCCCTTATATACATAATAAAGACAAAAAATCAATATTTTCTTCATAATATCTTCTATTTAAGGTGTGTTTGGAGTTAATATGAAGTGATTTGACTGTAACTGTAACTGTGCTAAATTGTGTTATGTTATATTATAATTATGGTTAAAAATTATTTTAGTAATTGGTTATTTATTTTCTTAAAAGTATTATAAATAAAATATAATAAATT